CCCAAAGATGCCCTGCAGCAGAAAGCTCTTGGGCGATGTGAACTCTGGTAGACGGAATATTTGTCCACCCTATCCCAAGTCTGAGGTGGAAGCTTCCTCTGGACAATCTCGGATCGGGTCTCGTGCACCGAGCTCCGTAGCCTCGATGTCAGTCGAGCAGCAGGAGACATTTCGGGCTTCCGGTTAGGGCTTCAGGTTTTAGGGTTTAGGGATCGCTAGAATCCAGAGTTTCCTGCAGATTATTGCACGGGGCCTCTCTACTGTCAGGCTTACTCAAAGCCCACCTCGAGCATCTTTGGGGACACTAGACCCGTCTGCAGTAGGGGGAGTCCTACACAGGCGTAGTGGCACTCGTGCCTAGGATTCTTTGTCCTGAACTATCAGAGTACAGTGCGCAGCGTACTTTAGTAACACTATAAGGTTCTATAAAATCACTATAGCTCTCTACTTAAACTGCTTCCCTCAGTATTCAAAATACCCTTCGGCTTACGATTCTTTCGCTGGTCTGTCGCACCCCTGCCCTTCACCTGCAGTAATGAACAGGAAACTCCAAGCAATAGCTCTTGAATCCTCGACGAAGACCTGAACAGGTGCCAGAAACCCACCTGCCTGCTACCATCCCGGTGCTTTTCAACATGTCGCATGTCTACATGGGTCCAATCTTCTCACAAAAGGCGCAGCGCCACATGCAACACGGCCCTATGCCGATCCAAGAAGAGACCGAAACCATGCTCCGTTAATTCTTGTACGGTTCTGGTCTCACATCGCCAGTTCCTTTTGGGTGGGATCCCCACAAAAACGTTAATTACTTCTATGTTCTGAGCTGCGGGAGGATCCCTTAGCTCGGCCCAAGGCTTGATGGAGTTCATGCGCTCCTGGCGTCGCTCCGAGGCCAGGCGCTCCTGCCGCCATGCTTTCGATGCTGACTCTGTCTGAGGCAGCAGGCAGCAGGCAGTTGGAGATAACTTCACCTCTCAATTTGCAAAGGCCCCGCGCCGGGCGCCTTCTCCTCAAGCTCTTGTTGGACCTGGCCACAACAGCGGTTTGGGGAAGCTTCCGGTCTTGAGGCCGTGAGGATCCCTGCAGTCTGCAGGTTCCCAGGTAAAGCGCGGATGTGACATCCGACACATCTATGCGATCTATGGCACCAAACATCCACATGCTTTGCTCAAGGATGTTCTTGATTTGAGCCCCAAAACAGTTGAAGCCCTACACACCGAAAGAGACGGACACAGAAAGGCCGCATCCATCATCGAAACTGCTCGACTTCTCTATGGCCTTCTCTTGCCACGTCTCGACCTGCCTCGGCCATGCAACCAACACATCGGCTTTCGTCTTCTCTTGGGCAACTGAGTTTGCGTTCGAATCAGGGACCCCGTCCTGAACATCTCTCGGCCACTAAGGCTCGGGGCCTCGTGGCAATCCCACAAAGCCCTTGAGAGCAGCCAAGCCAAGAGGCTGCTTGCGCTTCTCGGAGACCTTTGCAACACGCTCGGCACCTCGCAAGTCTCGGGCTGATGGAGGCCAGCAACCAACAAGTCTATGTCATGTGTCGTGCCATGTATATCATGCCTTGTACGGAGGTGCTGGGATTGGGAATGATCTTCAAAAGAGTGAAAGATTGTGCCGGTTAGCGCTTGTTGCTAAACGGAGGCCAATGAGACTTGGACTTCTCCTGGAACAGCTTCGTACAGAGCTTTGCGCATTCTCGGGGACATGCCACCTTCTTCCTAAAACAGCTGGCATGTCTCGTTGCCTGCAGTGTTGCTCCCACCAGCAGCATTCGAACTCAATCAATGGCCGAGAGCATTCATAGGCCAAGCGTTGTGGACTCCCCGAACTACTCGAGGACGGAACTTTCGATCAGCTTCTGCCGCATCTGGTCGAGCATGACCTCTCGCCTGGAAGAAAGGACGTTGAGCTTCCGGGTAGAGACTTGGACACCCTACTCGCTCGTCTCTCTCCCTGTCTCGCGCTCTCCCTCTCTCATTCCGTTTGTCTCCCTCTCTCTCGCTCTCCCTCGCTCTCGCTCTCTCCCTCTCTCATTCGGTCTGTCTCTCGCCCTTTCTCTCTCTCTCTCTCTCGCAACCCTGTTTCGAAGAGCTCTGTCGATATTGGGATCGAGGGACAATGAGAAGAAAAAGCACGCAGCGTCATGTGAGCAGATGGCGGTGTACTTGCAACTAGACTCAGGGCTTTCTCAAATGCAAGGGGCACGGCAGCTGGTATCTGTCGCCATGCTATCGAAGCTGAGAGATGCTAGTCAGCAAAGCGACCTTTAAAAGTGGCGCTGTTCATCGGACTGGAGTCAGCTTGAGCACGCAGTGGCGCAACTACAACATTGCTAACTGAGGTGAAATACGCTTCCTGTACCTAGACCAAACAAAGAAGCTTTCAGTGAACAGTGAGAATAATGTCTGCATATGTTGCAATGCAGATACATTCATTTAAAAGTATGTGGGTGCGCGCCCCTTTCTCTCTGTCTATCCATACATCCATACTCGCAGACATATGTAGCACGGGGGACGCACATCTCGAGCTTTCGGGGCTCTTTTTCGGGTCCCGGAGCAGGCTGGGTTCCCGGCGAGTTTCGCGCGTTCTCCTGCTTCCTGATGCATCAGAGAGTGGACAACTCGGAGCTAATGAGAAAGAGGTGAAGCAGGTTCGGTGTGGTTGATCTATTTCCTTATTAATGCTAACAGCCGCCTCAAACCACCGACCAAAGACAGAGGGTGTGGTGATCTGCTGCTTTCGGTTTCCCAAAGCTTCGGGGAACCAGTTCGGGCTCGTTGGGGAAGCCCTGCGACCTCAGTGCCCTCAATGCATACGGCAAACTTTTCGCAGCCTACCGCGGCATAGAGAACCAACGGTGTGGGATGAAAAGATTTGAGGGCTTGGGCTTGAGCTTGGTACAATTGGTACCACGTAGCGACACGGAAATAACATCTACGGGGAGACAGGCAACCTGCAAACGACTTCGGTTACAGTATCTTGTCTTGCTTCTTTCTCGCGGCGATCCCATCGCAACATCGAGCGACAACCTCGAAGGCAGATCTTCGACGATTACACATCTTCGTCGCCACTACAATAACGCAACACCATTCGGATCACCACATGCCAGAACAAGTAGTGCGTGAAAACGCTTGTGGTTCATAGCTTGGCAGATTCTGAAATGACGATACGTCTTCTACGAAACTGTATTAATTCCGGGACGCTCGACGTGCTCAAAGCATCTGCAAGCTGCGTAGCCAAATCAAACAACGAAAACAACCTTGGGAAAAAGCTGAGCTCTCCAAGCCAGGGGCTTTGTCTGCACCTCTCGCTCGGTTCTCAAGGCTTCTTTGGCCTGCACGGAGGACCGAAGCCAACGTAGTTTGGAGCCCTTCAATTCTTCAAAGACCACCCCAAACCTACCGATTCTGCGCTCAGCTAAGCACCCGACGAACAAATCGTTCAAACATACACTGCTAAAATGAGCTGAAACCCAAAGCGTGGGACAGCCTTCCTGTAAGCATCAGCATGCACGCAACCCGAAAGGCTGAGCCACAACTCTCAAAGCACCATGCCTTGCTCCCTGGACGGCCTCTGAAACACTGCCAGGCAGTCCGGTTAAACTTAAGCCTGCCATAATACTCTAACTGAAGAGCCAATATGTATAAGACGTGGCAGATGGCGCCAGGTCTGCAACTTCCTGTGCCCTGAGGTTTTCCTGGGCCACAGGAGGCAGGGGTCAGACGCGGTCGGGCTCTGGGTGTGTCTCGGTAACCCCGTTGTCGAGAGTTCACGGCCTCAGCTCTTGCTTTCCAAAACAATATACACTGCACCTGAACAAGCTCTTAGTCAGGACGGTCAGAACTCATCTACAAGTCTATGGCGCTGCGAGTACGGTATCTTCCCAAGCTTCAGAAGGACTGTTTCTCAGAGGTCGGATGAGATTAGTCACCAGCAAATCACCAGCCTTAAGCCAATATATAACAGGTAACAGACATGTGAGTGCGTATAGTGGCGGCAGGTATAGGTGAGGTCGCCGGCACTTCCAAGAGAAAGCCGTGCAAGAGTGGGCCCAGAAATGCAGGCAAGGCAACCTCTGTTGCCAGTGCTCAAGAATCCATACAGTGGCTGAATAATGAAAGGGCAAAAGGAGGCACCGGAACATGCAACAACCCCCCAAAACATCGCAGCTTCTTTCATGCTCAAGACCTGATGCCCAAGAGCCCATCAGCTCCTGCAAGATGGAGATTCCAAGGCAAGTTTGGAGAGATTCAAGACTTATGGAGGTTGGAGTGAGAGAGGCTCCCAACATCCGCGGCTGAAGCGCGACCTCCATCCAAAGCTCCCCAACTCATCCTCGAAACTCCCTGAGCCACCCTAGGCCCTATAAGCCCGAAACCTTAGAGACTCTTGTTATAGAGACCCTAAGCTCCTCCCCCCTCTGAGGTCCCAGACCTTCCGTGCGCGCTCGTAGACGAGCCGGAGCTGATCCTGAAGATCTCAAAGTCAGGGTCTTATAAGGCTTATACAAGTAAGAAGTAGGGGCCTTGATCATTAGAATAGGGTTTGGGGGCTTCTGATTATAATTCTTGTTTAATATACGCCCAAATTATGAAGGCCCCTACATTAGGCCTGAACCCAGGTGTTGCACGCAGCGTTCCGGCAGCGATTCCACTGTTCACTGCTCGGTGCGGGCTCACGTGGCCAATCCGGCGCTGAACGTCCACAAACCCATCAGGCAGCGAGCTTCGAGGGTCTCTCGGCTCTGTGCTTTCTCAGTCGCTCTAACAGGTCATCCAAGCAAACATGACCAGCCATGCAGCTGGCACACACCCCCCCAGCAGCAGCTCTCAGGATGGGTGCAAAGGGGGCTGAAGGAGTGGCGGCGGCACAAATTTGGTCGGAGCGGTTTGTGGCGGCGGAAAAATACATGCTGCGCAATAGCTTCTTCAATCGCAGCTTCATCTCGTCTGTTCTGTCGTGAGCAAGGTCAGGCAGGACGGTGGCAGTCACGACCACTGCCATAACGGCGTTTTGCGAGCCCACAATCTTGCTGACACTTGCCATGGCTGCAGACGCTGCCAGCGTCTGCAAAGCAATCTTTGACACCTCCGACGCGCTGAGTTTACCATCAGCCAAGTACTGTAGAGCGCCATTGCTGGCTTGGTGAGAAAGGCACGGCCGGCAAAGCCGGCTTGGGTCAGCTGGTACTCAAACTCCTCGACCTCTAACCGCGACTCGTGCAGTATCTCAATGTCGTCCGACAAGATATTGTGGTGCTCTTTAACATGTATCTCTTCTTCAGTTGTAGTCCTCTTAGTGCTACTGATGAATGTGCCCTCGGTTTGCTCTGTGTTGATGGTCGCTTCCTTTCGTGACGTTTCCGTCGTCCCGTCAAGCTTCACTCCAAGGACCTCCGTGGATTTGTCTGTGGTGTCTGAGGAAGTGAAGGTTTCCGTGGTTAAGTGGCCACAGCGGTCAAACGAGTGAGATTCCTTGTGGCTGGTGTAATCGTTTTTGGCAATGGCGGCTTCACACTCAACAGCAGCGGCATCACGTGGGGCACGGACCCCAAGTCCAACAGCAAGCTGCTCGACGGTGCCCTCCCTCTCGCCGTAGCTCGCCGTAGTAATGCCGAACACTGCCATCCTCACCATAGTCCACGCGAGATTATCTCTGTGTTGCCGACACATTGAACTCCTGGTACTTCAAGGAGACATCCACACCATTCACAGTGATCCTGCCTTCCGTCAGATGCTCACCCCATCGCAGCTTCCCACGCTGAGCCCTCGGTGCGAGTCATTGAAGAACTTTGCTATGGCTTTCAAGTCGAACTGCAGGTCTCCAGAGACCACGTCGCCAGCTGTATCGACATCGACATGGCCGCTGACAAGCCCCGCTCCCTCTTCGGTTGGGGTGGACAAGCTGATGCCACCATCCTTCGAAAGACCACCTGTCACCTTCATTGTCGTCATGCTCTCGCAGGTGAGGTCAAAGGAATCTTCGCTGGAACAAGTCGCCTAAACACTCGTCTCATGGGACACGCCGACTCCTAACGAGACATGCCCAGGCGGCATTTCTACTTCTCTGGTTTGTTGTAGCTGAAGTAGCTCCAGCTCTGCTTCGCACCTCCCAGAGTTATCAGCCGTCACACAGACGGGCCCGAGTTCGGCTTCAAACTTGAGCGAGGCTGGAAGTTCATCGCCTGATGAAGAGTTGCCAGTGGTAAGTGGCTGCTCAAGAGTGGGCAATTCTGGAGGTCGTTCCCACATAGCAGCAAAGTCAGCAGCGAGACTTCTTGCTGATTGCTTGCTGGGAGTGCTTTGCTTCAGGCTTTTTGCTTGGCCTTCCTTGCAAATAGCAGGGACAAGTTGTTCGGAAGTTTTACCGCTGTCTCCGTAAACGATGTTGCTGCAGGTCTGACCATCGAAGCTTCTGCAGCACTCCCTGATGCTGCCTGGTAGGAACATGCATTAACAGCCTCCTACCGCCATGGGCTGCGAAGAATCAGCCTCGTCGTGAGACGCTGCATCCCTGCGGCAAGCAGCGCCCAGCCACAAGGGAGAGCAGGCCGCTGGTTACCAACCACAGGACTGTCTGCCCTTCCTTGAGCCGTAGAGCGTTCGGCACATGGTATTCACGCTTAAGGTAGATTTACTGTAGCTGTAATTATACAGGGCTGTAACCTCATTGTTCAAACCCCTCTGGCCCTCCGGGGAAAGCCTGCCCGGCCACAGATACAAAGCCCGGTCGGGTCCTGGTATTGGCCCCACGCACGCGTCATCTTCTCCAGCAGCTCCCGCTGCCTCCGGCCGGCAAGCAACTGGTCCCGAATGCTCTTAGAGTCGGCGGTAGTAGCTAGGAGCAGGGTTTGATCATTTGTATTGAGTTCACTGTCCTAGACTGTGACGAAGTCGGCTTGCACAATCTGGACCCTTTCCTGATTTGCTGGTGCTTTAGTGTCGCCTCCGCATCTCTTGTTCTTGCCGGCGGCCGCGGGCGGCAGCCGCTCGATTCTCAGCTTGCCTGGCCAGAACCGTCCGCCCAACTGACAAAGCTAAGGCTTAGCATCGAAGCCCGATAAAGTGCACTGCGCTTGAATCGGCCCTTCTTCCATCGAAAGTCCCTCAATCCAGCACCAAATCCAAAAACCGTTGAGCGCCTGAGCTGGGACTGCCGCTCCTCATCCTGACGAAAGCGGCTCAGACACGAATCCGCTGTGCGTAGCGCTGCAAAGGCCCTCCGGGGTTCCCTACACCGAACCTCAGCCGCTGCCCTTTTGTGACTGAAATCGAATCGAAATTCGGTACTGGGCCTGGGACCCTCTGAAGAGCTCCCGGCTCCCGCCTGCTGGGCGCGCCGGTGCTCTGCTTTCCTCAAGGTGTCGTTCCCCACGGTCGGGATTTGCGGGGTTCTTGTAGATACTCCGAATGTCGGCCCGGCCCTAAATCCTTAAACCCTCACACCCCAAACAAAGGAGATCCTAAACTGCTGCCCCTAAACCCTCTAAACTTAACCCCCAAAACGCCCGATCGTGCGGATTTCGGTAAATCTCAAGAACACCCTGGGGCAACCCTCCTTTGTAAACCCCTAACCCTGCTGACTTCCAACATCCATAAACCCCAACTCTCAACCCAAAACCAGACCCTATCTATCACCCTACAGTGTAGGGCCTACACCTCACTACCCTAAACCCTAAACCCTAAACCCTAAACCCTAAACCCTAAACCCTAAACCCTAAACCCTAAACCCTAAACCCTACCCCCAATTTTGTTCCCGAAGCCTCAAGCCGAACCTCCCAGGGCGCCTCTGCCTCGCCTCGTGGCGGGTCTTCACTTCCTGTTGGCGCAATGCTTTGTTGGGGAAGCCGAAGCCGCTTCTTTTTGGGAATAGTCTGGGATTCAGTGCTTTTCGGTGGAAGCTTTCTATGGCCTGCGGTTTATGCGGCTTTGGGTGTTTGGGCTTGGAGGGTGTGCAGCGCTTGACGGTCTGTAGGGCTTGAGAATTTGCGCTTTGGGTGTGCAGTTTCAAACTGGGGGCTTCACGAAAGGTAGCATTAGTTCTGCCTGGATGTACATCTGTTCACGATCCTCCGTGGCGATACAAGCCGGAGACTGGATCGCGGTTCAGGTTTAAACAAACATACAAGTCATGAGGTTGTGGTTTCGAAATGCTGGAATTTGCGGGGCAGTACAGAAAGGCCCTTCGGCCCCGCGCCCGACGACAGCAGCAGAAGCCCAGGTCCATGACTCTCGCCAACAGCAACCCAGTGAACAAAACAGACGGCAAGTCACCAAGGAAACGCCGGCTGTCGTCGAACCCGAACCCGAAACAGAAGCCGACACAGACAGAAGGCCTCGGGACTGGGCTTTCGGGCTCGTCCTGGCATTGGTCATTCGGGTGTGATTTATTGGGTGTCCAGGCTTCAAGTCGGGAGGAGTGCTCAAGGCTTCCGAAACAAGAAGTCAAACCTATGCAGCTCATCAAACGCTCTCCCTATGCGCGATCATCACGAGGATATGGCGGTTTAGCCTGGTCTGAGGATGGGGATAGAGGTTCGACCCTAGCTTGTGCACTGAGACCCCTCTTCATCTGAGGCCCAACAACCGCTCGAAAGTCAAAGCTGGTCCAAGCCCACTAGGGCACAAGGCACGTGCACCCCAAAAGAAGGCTTGAAACAAGGAAGACCGGACCCAGGCGATTGTGAAGGAGATGGACGTTCTCCACGGTGGACCTTGAGGCCAGTCTGTCTCTTCAGTGGCACCGGACTCTCAGCGAAAGGCATTCCAAGTTGGTCACGGGGCTACGATTCGGGGTTTTGGGATCTAGGAGTTGGATGTTTAGGGGTTTCGGGGTTTAATAGCTTGAGACATGAATGCTCAAAGACAAACCTGGGCGCCGAACGGCGTCTGCTACCCGCCCCTCTAATTAATGTTTGAACACCGCTTACTTCTCTTGACGACAGCCGGCACATGATTCCCTGAGCTACAAGCGAAAGCCTGCAGTAGACTTTGGAAAACATCGCATTTTCGAGCACGTCGTCAAGCTCATGAGTACAACAGGGCTTCCCTGTGATCAACAGTCTGGAATGCTTTCGCAATGTTTCGAGTTTAGACTGAACCTGCGACCGCAGATTCGCAGCTCCGATTCCATTAAGGTCGGAGGGATTTGGAGTTCTGCTGAACACTGCGATCCTAGCTCACGGGAGCAATCCGAACCAGGTTTCATCGATTCCCTCCGAAGCTTGGAAGCCGCACACCAGGAGAACTCAGTGGCTGACTGGTAGTTGTGGCTGCTTCTGTCCTTGCTGCCACTCTTGGACCTCAGCAAACGGATAGGCCTCCAAGCTCGCTTCTGAGAAAGGGTGAAAGAATCGGGTGGTTTGTGCTTCTCGTGTCTCGCACCTCCCATCACAAGAACAGCAGGGAGTAAAGTTATGTCGTGGGTGCCGGCCACTGGTATCAGGTAACAAGTCCGAAACTTTGGAAACAACTCCGCGAGTGCAGATGCTAAACCGAGATTCGTGATACACACACACACACACATTCTTCATGATTCTTCAGCAAAGCAAAAAAAGACCACACCGGAAAACCACAGCATTTGGGCAGGCTCGCGCTTTTGCTCCGCCACTCTTGCACCGGTTCATTGGCTCTGACCTCTGCACTTTGAATCGTGCTGTCGAGTGCTTCCAGTGCATGGGCCGCAGGATTTGCAGGGCCCGGCCCAACGGAGCGTCTGCTGTGGAAAAAAACCATGGCTTCTGGCCTCGATACGGCGTATCTCTAAACCCCCCCCCCCAAGAGAGAACCATAAACGGTATCCCACTCGCAGCGCTCTGCCTTTCTCAGGGGCCTTCCTGCAGATCCTGCCTGCATCTTGCACGAGCAGGATCTTAACCTGAATGAGCCCGATGAGCCCGAATACCTTTAACTTCTAACCCTAGACCCCCTACTAGCCATACACCCAGAACCCTAACTGCCATGATGCAAATATCGCTGGCCGTCAGTCTCGCTCCAGCTGCGCACGGAGAGCCTCCAGCTGAGCGCCGGGGTTTTTTGGAGCTTGACAAATTCAGCTACAGGAGCTCCCACTCGAACACGGCTTCATCAGATAAGAGGTCCACTGCAATTTTACTTCCGGTCTGATATGGTCACCTTACTTGCCAATCCCAATCCCAAAGTTTGGACACGGCAGCGCGGATTGCTTCGTCCGACACAGTCTCGCAAGATAGGCGGTCAGTTGTCTTATGGAGGTTGTGCAGACCTCCTATAAGCCGGAAAAGGCTTCAGCCAGGAAGATGGCGGCAGTCTAACAGTCTCACGCCGATTTGTGGCAGCCTCCACTCTCGGAGGCTGACACCCAAAACCCAAACTCCCTCCCACCCCTCCACTCTCGAAACTCCAGAGTCAGAGCCCCCCATGGCCCCCCCCCACCCCCCCAATCAGAGCCCCCAATTCCCATATGCCNNGGCCCCCCCCCCCCCCGGGAGTTTCCCGACTTTCCGGACTCCTCTCCGGCCTCCAGCTGTTTCCGTAAGGACTCGCTCGTCCGCGGGCGATCGGACTCCTCCGGCAGTGCCTGGCGAAGGCGGCGAAGGGGCGAAGCTGGGTTCTTGTTAAGGGAT